TATAATATAATATAATATAATATAATATAATATAATATAATATAATATAATATAATATAATATAATATAATATAATATAATATAATATAATATAATATAATATAATATAATATAATATAATATAATATAATATAATATAATATAATATAATATAATATAATATAATATAATATAATATAATATAATATAATATAATATAATATAATATAATATAATAAAGTCATTATAATTGTTCATTTTGCACCTGGATGTCTTTGCTGAGCTGTTTGACAATGTGAGTTATGATTTGAATGTGGTTCTCCAGTAGTTTTCTAGCAGACGACTCCATTAGGACTGAACCCTGAGTTGCACGTAGTCCAGTCACCACATCGTCCCTGATCTTCATGGCTTGTTCCAGTAGAATGCTCAGAGTGCGTTCCTGATTGGTCATGTGGCTCTCCATATGTCCTATAAGCATTTAATTCAAAACATAATTACACAACTAGCACTCATTTGCTAGAGCCCCATTTTTTTATTCCTTTAAACATAAACAGTCAAGCCCACAGAGAGTTAAAGTAAAGTCTGGCAGTAAAGTTTTATTTTCAAAGGCTGGTCACCAGAAACTTAATTTTAAAATCTCTTCATCAAAGGCAAACAGACTGTTACATCTCATTACAGTGCAATGTGAACTTATTTGGTGTCATTTAATATTGTAAAATGTATAGTATAATTAGCAAACAGAGTCTGATAATGCTTTACTTTATAAAAGAAATTACAGTAAACAGCCATACTGTCGAAATGAAGCTTAATCAAATGCCTTTTGAAGCTGCAAGAATGCAGCCCTGTTTTCTCTTACATTGCATTAAATATAGTGAGCATAACTCAAGGGCTCCAGCAAACTACATCAACTATTGATTATCTGCCGCTGAGTACCGTTTCACTCGTATAGAGCACATATAGAGTATTCATTTAGCAGAGATGAATCCTTTTGATTGAGCATTTACAGTTTTAATATAGCCATCCATCATAACATAGCAGCAATGACAAAAGAAAGTGTTAAAATGTGTATGCATGTGCTATATACAGTATATATATATATATATATATATACACACACACACACAGTATATATATATATATATATATATATACATACACACACCGTATATATATATATATATAAATCTTTACTTTGTTGAAATCTTTACTTACTTGTGAACTGTTTCCCTGTAGTCTATGTTTGTTTAGTCTGATCTCTTAGCTACTGCATGACATGTTCTGACAGGAGTGTGCCATTACTTGACAACTAGATAATGCAGACAATTTGCAAATATGATATTTAAAAAAAAGTACATCTGCTTGTCTAAATATAATGTAATTACTACTAATTAACATTCTATTCTGCGAAGGATGACAGCTTTAGGATGATGCAGTTCATCATGCAATAATTTGACAAAAATTAAGTACTGAGATATAAGCCAGACATCTCAGACTCCTCATTAATTCTCATGGGCTTCTCTGGCCAGAGTGCCAGTAATGATTTCCCTTTTGTGATTTGTAACACATCTATTATGCAATAGCAAATGTACTCAGTATTCCCATGCTTCAAAGCTAAGTGGTGATGGTCTCTTCTGGGGTATTATTAATGTCCTAATGTGTGTTGTTACTTGCTGTGTGTAAAATCAATTTGATACACATAAACATTTTAAACATCACAGCTCTTCGTCAAACAGACATGCCTTTACAGCAGCTGTTACAGCCTTTATAGAATTAAATAATTCAAATTCTAAGATCTTTAAAAAGGAAAATCGAGTGGGTTTTATTGTGGGCGGTATTCTCTTGGCTTTGCCTTCACTTTTAAACCGATAGCATGGATATTTACACTGTAAATGCTAGTAATTGTAATGGAAAAAGAATATGAAAATGATGTCAACTCTAAAGGTGTCTTTACACAGTCCAGGTAAAGCTAGCTAATATGCGCCTGCTCAAAATTTTGTGTAAATGCGCAATAGTGCATAAAAGCCAGACTAAATTATGCCTGCTCAGACCCAACTCAGCTCCTATATCAAAGTAGTGTAATTGCTGTGTAAATGCATTTATGCCCCTGTGCCACATTAGACACACAAATTCCACTCCAGAAGCACTTCTCTGCCACCTTTACAGTGTAAATTTGCAATATGAGTTGCCTCACCATGTATGTTAAAAAATGTAACGTCATAATTTAAAAGACAATATATAATACCTTATTGTAGCTGTATTGTAGTTATTTTTGAAGTTATATAGGCTATATCTATATATCTATCTATATCATAGCCTATATATATATATATATATATGAAAAATGTTCTTAATCCAGAATTTTTATTTTACTATGCTAAAATAAATATTCAGCGATATCTTCAAAATATTTTTTAATTTTGCGCACTTTTTTCTCTAAATAATGTTGATATGGTAACTAATAAATGCTGTACATTTTGTTATGCTAGCATGTGTGTTACAACTTGGTTAGTGTCTTCTGCTAGTTATCAAAGCATTAAAAAACTAGCTAAACTGATAAATAACAGTTTGGAGATTAAAATAATAGCTGATTTGTCTCATGTTAAATTAATAATAAAAACAGAGATTAAAAATTTTCTTAATCCAGAATTTTTATGTTACTATGGTAAAATAAATATTCAGCGATATCTTCAAAATATTTTTTAATTTTGGCGCACTTTTTTCTCTAAATAATGTTGATATGGTAACTAATAAATGCTGTACATTTTGTTATGCTAGCATGTGTGGAAATATTCAAACCACGTGTGTTACAACTAACCCCGCGTTGCTATGTGCCCTGCGCTCTCCTACTTCTGTTGAGGCAGTTTTGCTTATCTGCTTATCTCTAAGTCATGTGTCTTTCCGGTGTCAAAGCATTAAAAAACTAGCTAAACTGATAAATAACAGATTGGAGATTAAAATAATAGCTGATTTGTCTCATGTTAAATTAATAATAAAAACAGAGATGAAAAATGTTCTTAATCCAGAATTTTTATTTTACTATGCTAAAATAAATATTCAGCGATATCTTCAAAATATTTTTTAATTTTGGCGCACTTTTTTCTCTAAATAATGTTGATATGGTAACTAATAAATGCTGTACATTTTGTTATGCTAGCATGTGTGGAAATATTCAAACCACGTGTGTTACAACTAACCCCGCGTTGCTATGTGCCCTGCGCTCTCCTACTTCTGTTGAGGCAGTTTTGCTTATCTGCTTATCTCTAAGTCATGTGTCTTTCCGGTGTGCCACTGCCACCTGTATTATTATCAGCACTTTTTATTGTAACAAACAACAACATTTAATAGCTCAAATGGCTTGTATTAACATTATGTAATATTATGACATACGTTGACCTGTCCTGTAAAATATACATTCACCAAATTCCTTATAATTACTGACTTTCACCAGAGGGAGGCGTATCTGCAATTATGTATTCTTGTACTGGCTATTTCTTAGGTTACTGTCAGGTCATTAAGCCATTAAAGAGTGAATCAGACGCACAGTCACGTTTATTTCACAGGTAACCCTTGTTGTTTGTTATTCTTCTGATTTTTACCTCATGTTTTCTTCTATAGGGCTATTTTATGAAATTAAAACAAATGGTCCGGTAATAGGTTTTAGTTTAGACTTTAAGGTTAATGTGCCGTGAAAGACCCTCTGAATAATGTCACTAGCAGCATTATCACCAGATAAAGTGAATGTGTTGTAAGTGCCCAAGTGTCATTTGCGATCGAGAGCACGCGCTCCTGTGCGCTCGCCCGCGCGCTTCAGTGTCACTGGCGCTCCGCGCGCTGACAGCCTGCTGCCGCTGCTGCTGCTGGACGGGAACCATGGAGGAGAACCACAAAGATGAGAGCGCCAAAGACCCGCAATCAACGTCCTACCAGAGAAGGATGTGGAGGAATTTCCAAGAGAAGACCAAACCATTTTTGAGCCCCAAACTGGGGACCGAACGACGCAGCGGGGATGGTAAAAAAGAAAGCGGGTTGTGGATGTTTAAAAGAAAGAAGAAACAGGTCCTGGACCGGGTCTTCTCGTCCTCGCAGCCCAATCTGTGCTGCTCAACTCCGCCGTCTTTCGTAGGCGACAGGACCCTGTGCGAGCAGCCGGACTCCAGCGCCGGTAAAGGGCTCGGGATCTCACCGCTGGCCGCTGCTGATGGAGCTTCAGTCAGTAAACCGGAGATTTCCGTATCCGCGCACGGAAGCCCGAAGCTGCTGGTGTCTCATCTGGTGATGTCTCAGCAGAAGAGCTCGTCCTTGGGCTCGACGTGCTTCGAGAAGCTGGTGGTGGAATCGGCAGCATCCAGTGAGGATGAGCTGGCCAAAAACGCTAGTGACCTGGTAAGTGTGGTTTTAAAACACAAGATAACCAGGAAAGTGACCTGGGTGTGCTGTTTGCATCCTGAGAAATGATTTTTTTTTCTTCACGCTTCACTGTCTCCTCATTAACTGACCTGCAAATTGAATATTGTCTGGTCATCTCCCATGTGGGGTATTTAGACAGCAGTTGACATTAAACATGTTGACTGATCTGTCAATGTGTGGTGCTGCCGATTCCCTTCTTGTATACTCATTTGTGGTTTAGAGAGACTAAGAAGTAACTTGATTCATAATGTCACATAATGTCAATGGCACTTCATTAGATAACAACATATCAAACCAATGGCATCTGCAAACAAATTCTTATAGATCTTTAGTAACTTTACTTTTCACAGCCATTTTTGCAAACACTTTTTACTAACTAGTGTCAGTGTCACTTGTGATGAATGTATGTAGTCATTTCCCCTCAAATGGGGAAATGTTTACACAAGTATCCTAGCAGAGTGACTACAGGTGAAGTTCATCACATCAGGATTCCCATAATACATTTCCACGACTTTCCCATGATTTCCCCAATTGTTTCTAAATACTGGATAAAGGTTTTTATAAAGATTGCACTCCCGTCACTGCGCCCTTGATCTGTGTCATGAATGATAGTAATTGCCTTAAGTAGTGATGTTGTTAACATGTAGCAGCTTTTGTGGTTATCACACTTGAGAGTTTGAAATAACACATCTGTCTTAATGAGGCTGTTATGTGCAACAAAGCAAACTTCTGAATATTTATTATCTGCAATCTTAGGTGCAACTAGTGCAATGAGTTGAAGCTCTAAAGTTTTGGCTGAAAACTGCTGCAGGTTGTCAGCTGTATTATTGGAGGCATTATTCCCTTTGTGCAAATATTATTTAACAGTAAATAAATGAAATCAGCTGTTACACACTAAATGTAATCAACAGCATAAACAGGACTTTATAAAGTTTTTCTTCAGGTATAAGAAATTCAATTTGTTTTGTTTTTTTATTTTATCTATTTTTTCAGACAATGGAAATGCAAGAGAAAGCAATACTTATTAGAACCTGTTTTTTAGGCTATTCATTTATA